TTTTAATAATCGCAGAGATTAGGCATTCTTCGCTGGCTTTTTTGATATTCGTTTTTTGCTTTTTCGCATTTAAGAAACTCCCTAAACCCTAAACCCTAAACCCTAAACCCTAATTTTGAAGCCCTCGACGCAGTGTGCTGCCCATTTGTTTTTCGTGGCTTTCTCCGCTTGCCCTTTAGGGTTTAGGGTTTAGGGTTTAGGGTTTAAGTTGTTTTTGAACATGCAGCCAGAACCTTCCAGGGTTTAGGGTTTCGGGTCTTTAACCTGCTGCTGCTGCTGCTACTGCTGCTGCTGCTGCTGCTGTTGCTGCTGCTGCTCCTTCTGCTGCTGCACGTCTGTCGCACGTGCCACTACTGCTGCTGCTCCTCCTGCTACTCCTCCTGCCACTCCTGCTGCTGCTGCCGCTGCTGCTGCTGCTGCTGCTTGTGCTGCTGCTGCTGCTGCTGCTGCTGCTGCTGCTGCTGCTGCTGCTGCTGCTGCTGCTGCTACAGGCTGAAGGACATGACGGAGTGGGGCCAAGTGGCGGTTTTCAATTTATTGATTTCTTATTTTCCAAAAACTGCCGAAGAGAAATTTGATTTGCTGAACATCCTCGACAACAGACTCAAAAGCTCTTCCGCTGCTGTTGTCCTGGTCAGAGCCAGCTAGCCAGCAGCTAGCTAGCTAGCTAGCTAGCTAGCTAGCTAGCTAGCTAGCTAAGTAGCGGGCTAGGTTGCTAGGTAGCTGGCCAGCTAGCTAGTTATCTAGCCAGGTAGCCAGGTAGTTAGCTAGCTAGCTGGCTAGCTAGCTAGCTAGCCAGCTGCCACCCAACTGCTAGCTAGCTAGCTAGCTAGCTGGCTACCTAGCTATGCAGCTAGGCAGCTAGGCCGACAGCCGCATATTTAACTACACGACCAGCTAGCAGCCATTTCGAGAGCCAGTTGCTAGCTAGCTAGCCAGCTAGCTAGCTAGCTACCAGCTAGCTAGCTAGCTACCAGCTAGCTAGCTAGCAGCTAGCTGACACCTAGCTAGCTAGCTGGCCAGCTAGCTAGCCAGCTAGCTGGCTGGCTAGCTACCAGCTAGCTAGCTACCAGCCAGCTAGCTAGCCAGCAGCTAGCTGCAGCAGCTAGCTGCCAGCTAGCCACCAGGTAGCAAGCTACCAGCCAGCTACCAGCCAGCTAGCTAGCTACCAACTAGCCACCAGCCAGCGACCAGCTAGCTAGCTAGCTAGCTGCGTGTGCTGCTGCAGAGGTGCAGCTAGCTAGCTAGCAGCCAGCTAGCCAGCCAGCTAGCCAGCCACCAGCCAGCTGCCCGCCAGCTGGCCAGCTAGCTAGCCACCAGCCAGCTAGCCAGCTAGCTAGCCAGCTAGCTAGCCAGCTAGCTGCGTGTGCTGCTGCAGAGCTGCACGCGCTGCTTCCTGCAGCTAGCCAAGGGGGAGCCTTTGCTGCTGCGGCAGGCAGTGCAGCGGCTTGCTGCTCCGCTGCTGACGCTGGTCTCCACTTGCTGCTGCGAACTGGCCTACGTCGTGCTGCAGCACTTGCTGCTGCTGCTCGAGACGCGTGAGGGTTTAGGGTTTAGGGTTTGGGGCTTCGGGCCTGGGGCTTAGGGTTTGCGCCTTGGGGTCCAGGGTTTGGGCTTTAGGGCTTGGGGTTTAGGGTTTAGGGTTTAGGCTTGGGCGGGTATGGGGTCAGGTGGGGTTGGGGGTTCGGTGGGCTTTAGGGTTTAGGGTTTAGGGTTTAGGGTTTGGGGTTTGGGGTTTGGGGTTTGGGGTTTAGGGTTTAGGGTTTGGGTCTGGGGGTTTGGGGTTCAGGGTTTCGGGGGGAGTTCAGTGGCGTGGAGAGGCGAGCTGCCATCCGTAGAAAGCCAGCCGAAGAAGGATGACGAGTCAAGGGTTTAGGGTTTAGGGTTTAGGGTTTAGGGTTTAGGGTTTGCGCGCAGCTGATGGCGAGGGTTTTCGTTTGGCTTTGGAAAAAGAATACCAGCAATTCTTTTGTCGGCACAGTGACCCTTCTTACGTGAAGTACACGAAGCTCAAGATTCTCACTGCCATCACCACTGAGGTCCAAACCCTAAACCCTAAACCCTAAACCCTAACCCCTAAGCCCTAAACCCTAAACCCTAATTTTGCAGCCCCGAGGCGCGCGTCCGCGCCGCTGCGCGGCTTCGCGGGCCGTTCCCTCGAGCTAAAGTCTAGAGCCCAGTGCCTAGGGCCTAGGGCCTAGGGTTTAGGGTTTAGGGTTTAGGGTTTAGGGTTTAGGGTTTGGCGCAGGCGAGCGCGCCCGCAGTGCTGCAGGAGCTGAAGGAAAGCGCCTGCGACGCAGACGCTAATGTGGGGAGAGAAATAATCAGCAGCATGGGAGAAATTGGTTTGCTGCTGCCTTCAGCAGCAGCAGAAGTCGTGGGTTTGGTCCGCGCCAAACCCTAAACCCTAAACCCTAAACCCTCGGCCTGGGAGGCGCCGCGCGAGGCGCACGCGAAACCGCTTTCTGGGGGTGCCGGCAAGGCCAAAACCCTAAAAAAG